CTCTCCTTCCCAGCCTGGGCCTCCTTCCCCTCCATGGCAATCCCAGAGGGATCCTTCTGACACCCAGAACCAACCTTTTCCCTCCCATACTCTAAACCCTTTCTTGGTTCCCCACCCACCGAGATTACAGCCTCAGTTTCTCAGCCGCCTGGCCTGGCTGGGACTGTCCTCCGTGGCACCATTCAGCCAAGCCTAGGCTCCAGCCTCAGGTCCAGCTTCAGCTAGCCACTCAAAAGTTCACGCACTTTCACCCCTCCTCGTCTTTGCTCATGTGGCTGCCTCCACCTGGATGGCCCTTCCCTTTCCTCCACTGCCCTGAAATCACCTACTCATGCCTGACACTTCAGCTCAAATGTCACCTCCACTCAGGGAAACCTACCTGAACCTCCCTCACCTGAGCCACAGAGTCTCGTCTGTCCTCTCTGGCTTCCCCAGACTCAGTATCTCCCCCTGATCGCCCATGCCTGTGCCTGCATCCAGGCCTGCCTTCCCCACCCCCCTGCCCCAGGATTGCTGTCCTGGGCCTGGAATGAGGGGCCTGAAGACGGAAGGATGAGCAGGGAGCTGACTTCTGGCAGTGGAGATGGGGTTCATCATTTGAGACAAAATGGAAATTTTGGTAGGCTGGATCTGGATCTGGGAGTCAGGAGACTCTGGCTCAACCCCCCTGGCTCCTCTCTGTGTCTCACTTTCCCCAGTTGACCAAGAATAGTTGGTGGGTACTGCCTGGTCTCTGAGGCCTCTGCCTGTTGGGGTGGACTATATCCGGAACTCAGTTAAATGGAGCTGGGACCAAATGTATCTTCTGAAAGGTGGGGGGGAAGGTAGGATGATCTGAGTCTATGCCCTCTAGCAGGTGGGTGGGCACAGGAGCTGCTTTCCTGGCGCTCCCCCACAGCCGGATCTCCTGGCCTGGGCTATACAGCCCCCGCCTTCCTGCCTGTCTTGGAAACAGGTGCTTGGGTGGTAGATGGGTCTGCAGGATGGCTCCTGACACCTCTCAGCAGGTTTTGGGGACAGTAGTGGGCAGTTCATTTGTCAAGGAGCAAGCAGGGGGTGGGGGGCTAGGGCCTGGAAAACACTCCACCACTCTCCAAAGAGGGAGTAGGGGACCTGGTGCTTAGCAATTGTCCGCTGACTTAAAGGAACTGAGCACCTGAGGTACACAGCGTGAAGAGGGGGCGAGCTGGGCGCAGCAGGTCTGTTTAAAGAGTTGGAGAGGGAGGCCCAGGGGAGAGGCCAAGACTGGCACAGAGACACAGGATCCCAGACTGGGGGCCAAAAAAGAAAGCGTGGGCTAAAATCTCAGACAAAGGTTGAAGCCTAGGGTGGGACAAACCCAAAAAGGTATGGAGAGCCAGGCTCTGAGAGAGAGACAGAGATCTAGAAACGCAGACAGGCCCAGAAATAGAGACCTAGAGAAAGACCGATAGAGGGACCTAGGGGAGAGACAAATAGACACAGAGTGGCCCAAAGAGAGACAAACAGTCAGAGACGCCTAGAAGGGGCAATGCCTGTCAGTAGGGGAAGGCAGGCAAGAAGCTGGGAGCTGGGAGAGAAGCCGTGCCAGGAATGGGGCTGAGACATCTGGCCTCCCGGGCAGGGGCTGCAGGCCCTGGGGCAGGTTCCTCTCCTGGGGAGCAGGCGGGAAGAGTCAGAGGGAGGCGGCAACAGCAGCTGGCCACCCGGCCATGCGCAGAATGTGGAGAATGCCGGCCGCCTGCCCCGGCATGTCCCCCAGCGGAAGCAAATGCCTGGCGGGGGGCAAAAGCAGGCAGGCTGCCCTGGGCCACCCCCTCACACCTGCTGCCCTCTGAGTGAGGGTCAGGCCCTGGCATGGGCGGGCAGAAAGGGCTAGAACTGTGGCCTCATGCCGCTAGGCACGGTGTGCCCTATCTGGGTCTCAGAGGGAGAAGGCCCCGAAAAGCCTGCCTCCCAAGAGTGTAGGGAGGCCCCAGGGAGGAGAACAAAAGGGCCTGCTGGCTGAGAACCTGAGGGGCACCTGGATACTTCAGCGGGGTGTTGTCAGGGAGGCGCTGCTGAGAACTGCCAGGACAAGCACTGGACAAGTTCTGACGACTAGGCGGCCTCCAATGAGGGGCCTCCCTTTCCTGAACCTCAGTTCTCCCCTTGGACGACAGAGCTAGCAATCCCAACTTCACAGCAGTGGCAGGATTTGGTAAGAAGGCCCTAAGCCTGGGGCTGGATACACGGTAAATGCCCAGTGAAGAGCAGTTATTATTATTCCTACCAGTGTTATTATCCAGCATGTTAAGAGCCTAGGCTCTGAAGCTGGATGGCCTGGGTTCAAATTCTGGCTCTGTCACTTCCTAGCTGGGTAACAATAAGCAAGTCACTTAACCTCTCTGGACTGCAATGTCCTCCTCTGCCAAATGGAAATAGTAATCGTACCAACAGCCCGGGACATTGTGACAGACAGCACTTACTGAGTGTGTCAGACGCACGCGTCGTGAATACTCAATAAATTATTACGGAACTCTTGGTAGTGAGAGTCCTGCAATCTGGAGGTCAGGAGACCTGTTTCAAGGCCCAGTCCTGTCCTTCCCTGACTGGGCAACCTTCATCAGGGCTCTTCTGCTGGCAGGGCCTCACTTTTCCTCATCTGGAAAATGGTGGCAGGAGTCCGCGCTGGGCCTGCCCTCTTAAGCCAGTCTTCCCTGACACAGCAGTGAGGGTCACGTGGGACAATGCTATGAGGGCGATGTCACGGGCTTGGGGCATGCGGGGCTGGGGGTGGAGGGTGGTTAGAGCCCCTCTGTTGCAGTTTCTGCATCTGCCTAAGGACAGGAATTCCTGCTGTGCCCACCTCTGTGGAATTTTACTCATATCAACTATAACAAGTATAAAAAATGTTGCAGGGGGGCAAAAAACACACCTCATAATTCAGTCAGTACATGAGCATGAGGGACAAGCACAACCCGTGTGTCCTCTCCTGGGTGTGGGGACAGGTCTGGGCTCAGAGCTGCATGAGGGCAGGGCCCAGGCTCTTTCTTGAATTGACCCCTGCCCCTGCCTATGGCACAGCCGGCTCCTGCCCGGATGCACACACCAGCCCCCTTCCTCCCTGGTCTCCCTGCCCCTGGTCTCAGCAACTCAAACCTACCCTCCATGGTGAAGCCAAAGAGGTTCAATCAGCTCAAAATCTTCCACGGCTCCCTAGTGCTCCCAGGATAAAGTTCAAATATCTTATAAGGACCCAACATGATTTGACTCTTGTTCACCAATCCAGTCCCACGTCCTCACACTCACCTACCGTCTAGAACCTTTCACTTTGCAACTTCAACTTCCTTCAGATATGTGCTTCTGCCTCAAGGCCTTTGCATAAACTGTTCCCGTTGCCTGGAAGGTCTTCCCACCTGCCTTGCCTGGCTCACTTCTGCTCACTCTACAGGTTTGTTAATAGGCCTCTGGTCTCTCCTCCAGGAAGCCCTCCATGACTTGCCAGGCTGGATCGGACACCTCCTCTGGGCTCCCATGGCCTCCTGGGCCTCTCCATCCCAGCTCTGACCACTCTGCTGTGACCACTCTGGACTGTCGCTGTCTGAGAACAGGTACATCTACTCCAGTGGACCATGAACCCTGTGAGGGCAGGGCTGGGCTGCGTCCTCAGCACTATTCAGCACAGGGTAAGGCACAGAGGAGGCCCTCAGTCAACAAAGGCAGGCACACAGTGAGACACACAGACAGACAGACAGAAAAAGATGCTAAGGAAAGGACTGGCGCCGGGTCTCTCACCCTCCCTGTGAGTTGCTCCTACAAAGCGCAGTCTGGCCTGGGCCCGACTCTCCAGCACATTCTCAAACATGCCACTCTCCCCACCTTGGCCTCACCCGCTCCAGCCACACTGGCTTCCTCACCCCTCTCCGAGGCTCTGGTCCTTTTGAGCCTGGAGCCTTCTCATCTGCCTCCTCCCAGGAGCCTGTGGTTGATGGTTCCGACTTATCCTTCAACCCTCAGCTTGCACACTCCATCCCAGGCAGCCAGCCTAGATTTGCACCCTGAGGCATGCCCAGCACACCCCCTGCTCCCCTCCATGGCACTGACTACGACTGTGAGGTTTACTGGGCACACTGGTGCAGTTGAGGGTTCAAGTCCTGGTATGGTCTTCTCCCAGCAGAGGACCTTTCGATCCCCCAGCTTTCCCACCTGTAAACCAGCACTATAGCAGATGGGTCAAGAGTCAGACTGCCCAGGTCTGAAGGCTGGCTCTGTGTTCACTAGCCACGTGACCCTGGGCAAGTTACTACCCTGGCCCGCGTCCTCTAGATGAGCCTAATGACAGCACCTGCCTATTAGGGTTGTCGTGAAGACAAAACAAGCTAATATTTGAAAAGGGCTTCTAACAGGGCCAGGTCTACTGTGAGTGCTATATTAAGGTGTGGGAGTGAGGATCTGAAAGAGCCCTGTTGGCGCAGTGGTTAAGAGCTCGGCTGCTAACCAAAAGGTCGGCAGTTGGAACCCACTAGCCGCTCCAAGGGAGAAAGATGTGGCGGTCTGCTTCTGTAAAGATTACAGCCTTGGAAACCCCTAGGGGGCAGTTCTGCTCTGTCCAACAGGGTCACTGTGAGTCAGAATCAACTCAGCGGTGGTGGGTTTGGTTTGGGTTGGTGAGGATTTGGCAAGAAGCTCCCATGCCATGCTCATCACAGTGATGTCCACCTGCCACCCGATGCACGGGGGCCGCCATTATGGTTATCATTCTCTGTTACCCCATCAGCTACCTGGGGCTGGGTAAAGGTCTGATGACTACCGGCCCTCAAGGTGGGGGACTGCACTCCCCAGCAGGAGGCCTCTGGAAACAGTGCACTGGGCTTTCAAAGTCTCAGAATCCGGTCCCTTGCCTACCACGTGAATTCCCAAGGCACCACCTGTGCAAAGAGGAAGCCAGCCTCCCCCTTGCACCCCTCGTTAGGTGGGGAGCTCACCAGTGGCCCTGTTCAAGGGGGCCCTCGCACAGCCCATCCACCAACGCCCCTTACCTGTTCCAGGCCGGCCCATGATGACTTCCTTCTTGGGGGCAGGATGGCTGGTGTAGCTGCTGGGCACCAGGACAGGCAACAGGGCAGCAGGTGAGGGGTGAAAGGCCACAGGCTGGAAGGGCGAAGAAGCCAGGCCAAAGGTGGGCATCGGCTGGGCCACAGCAGTTGGTGCGGCTGGAGGCACGGTGATGGGTACGGGGGCCGGTAGAGGCGGAGGCAGGCCAGGCTTCCCACTGGCTGCCCCAGCAGGTGCCGGGGTCTCGCGGCACCCCCGCCCAGGTCCCCCAGCCCGGGCCTCACCAGCAATGCCTGTCTCCCCAGGAAATTTGGAGGGCAGCGGTACGTCAGGGTTGCGGACAATGACGGGGGAGTCTCGCTGTACAGCAGGTACCCTGCGTACGGAGGGCCCCGGATCCGAGGTCAGGCCAGCAGGTGGGGGCAGCAGCAGCAATGGCGAGGGTTGGCGGGAGCGGGAAAAGGGCACAGCAGGTGACACAGCCCGGAAGCCGGCCGGCGTGGAGGGCGTAGGGGTGTGGGACACTGAGTCCACACCAGAGTCTAGGCTGTCATTCTTGGGGAAGTCCGGGGCGGCTCCTCCACCCCCAGTGCCAGGGGCCCCCAGTGCCCCTGGGTGGGGCAGCAGCTCCGTCTTCCGCCGCCCAGGGCTGATGGGCACAGTAAAGGTCAGGTTGGTCTGGAAGGTGGGCAGGATGCCAGAGGAATGGCGCTCCCGTGGGGCAGGTGGTGGCGGATGGGGGCCCAGGTCTGGTGGCGTCAGCACGCCAGCTTTAGGGGTGCTGGCGCTTAGGTGGCGACTGCGAACAGCAGTGCGTTGGATGACCGGGGAGGCATTGATGGGGCTAAAGTTAGCAGGGCGGAAGCCGAAGAGCGGCGAGGGTGAGGGTGATGGGGCAGGTGAGAATGGCGACTGCGTAGAGACGGGGGAGAAGGAGGGCGTGCCCGAGCGTGAGCTGCCCAGAGACACCAGCATCACAGCCGCCTCACACTCGTCAAACTCAAAGCGGGACAGGTCAGCAGGGGCCACCAGGCGTGGGCGTGAGTCTCCCCGGGCTGCCACGCTGCTGGCCTCACTGTCCCGCGACGTCTCATCACCCCAGTCGAACTCAGTGCTGCCCTCTCGGGTTGCCACACCAGCTGGCCGCCCAGGCCCTCCTGGCCCACTGTCCGCCAGGCCTTCCATCTCCTTGGTTCGCATGGACAGGTGGCGCGAGCAGTAGCCCCGTCGCTGCGACTCCTTCATGCAGCCATCTCGCGAGCACAGCCTACGCCACTGCTTGCCATTGAACTTCTTGCGGATTCCATTGGGTGTGCAGACCACGTCGCCCTTTTTGTACTTCTGCTGAGCGGCTGTTAATGGCGTACGAGCCCGGGCTGCTGGCGCTGCCCCCTTCTCTAGGGAGGCCACACTGCTGCTCCGACTGCCGCCCTGGCTCCCTTCCTGGCAGGGCGAGGGCTGCTCTCCAGGGCGGCCTGGGCCCGTGAAGGCTGGAGACTTGGGGGGCGGCGAGAGGAGCTGGGGTGGAGGCAGTGGGAGCAAGGCTGGGGTGCCCAGGGCTGGCGGGTGCTTCTCTTCGCCCTCCTCACAAGACCCCAGGTTGCTGCCAAAGCTGATCTTGGATACCTCGGCATCCTCGGGCTGCTTGGGATCCAGGGCAGCAGGGCAAGGCGGCAGGGTGACCCCGGGCTCAGCCTGCTCCTCCTCGGGGCCTGTGGCAGGTTTCCTCGGCAGGGTTTCGGGTTCCCAGGGGGGCCGCAGCAGGCGCAGGCTGGAGCGGGCCACCCACACGGCCTCCTCAGGCTCGCGGTGTAGGGGCTGTGGTAGGGTGGGTGGAGGGCCCGGCTGGGCACTGGGGCCGGGGCTGAGGCGGACCTTGTAGGCAGCTGGCTTGGTGGCCACCTCCACTACTACCCCCTCACGGTAGGCAGCCACACCGGGCTCCACACAGGTGCAAACAGCGGTGCCCACTGCCAGCGCCCCTGGGGGCGGCGTGGCGTCTAGAACCACATCCACACCACTGCCGGGCACCCCCTCGTAGAAGGTCAGGGCCCGGTCACCAGGGAACTGCACGCCCAGGTCCTGGCTTCGGCGCACCTGGCGCACCACAGCCGGCAAGAAAAGGCCGTCACCACGCCGAGCCAGTACCCGTTGGGACCGCAGCTGCCGCAGGTCGTAGCTGCTGCTGGTGGCTCTGGGGGGCCAGGGCCCAGGCCCACAGGCCTCCATGGGCTCATCCTCCAGGTCGGCTGAGTGCTCGCTGGCTGTGTCGGTAGATGAGGAGCGGGTGGAGGTGGGTGGCCGTGGAGGCAAACCCAAGGTGCTGGCCTCCTCGGGCGTCCGCGCCCGCTCATCAGGTGCCCCAGCAACCCCGCCACTGCCGGCCCCGTGCTCCTCCACATACTTCTTCTTGGGCGCTCGCGACTTGAACGTGGCTGTCTTGCGGCTGAGTGAGGGCTCCCAGCGACCTGCCTCTCCCTCCCCCTTGGGGTCCTCAGCTGGGCCCGGGGTCGGGTCATCAGGGTGCAGCTCTGGGGGTGGCCCCTCCGGCCCAGGGCCCTGCTCAGCCGCCTCCTCCTCCTCGCCCTCCTCAGCCTCTTCTGGCCCTGGATGCTGCTGCTGTTGTGCCTCCTCCTCCTCCTCCTCTGGCTTGTCACCCTCCCCAGCCCCTCGCCGCCTCAGGGCCTTGGCCCTGGTGGCTGGTGGGGACTTGCCGCCGCCACTGCCAGGACCCGGGAGGCCAGTGCACGCCTTCTTCATTGGCTTCATCTTTTGCCCACGCCCTCAGACACCTGTAGGGTGGGAGGCCAGACAGAGGTCATTGGGAGCAACTCAGGAACCCCCAGACCTAGTAGTCCCCAAGATTTCCCACTTGCTGAGGCCACTGCTTCAACTCCATGGTCCCCAAGGCCTCCCCTCTGGCTACCCTTAACTCACGGGGGCCCCTGGCCAGCACCCAGACACAAACCGGCACCCACGTCCTCTGAGCACAGACACCATGGCTGCATGGAGACGCTCAAGACACCTGCTCCCTGCACAGAGGACACGGCGAGCACGTGCACACATGCCGTAACGCCTCACGGGGACACGAGAAGCGGTAGGTTCACACCCACGGAGCATGCACTGTGTGCCAGGCCCTGTGCTGAAACTGGCCTTTCTTAACCCATTTCATCCTCGCAACAGCCCTCAGAGGCGAGCGTTACTGTTAGCCCCATTTAATACTTGAGGAAACCAAGGCACTGAGAGGTTAACCCACTCAACTTGTCCGGGACCATCCGGCTAGGAAATGGCAGAGGCAGAGTCTGAACCCAGGCAATCTGGTCTCAGAGTCTGTACTCCTAACCATTTCAGTGTGCCGCCTGTCACATGATCCAGAGGGCACGCGTACTCGCACGGTCACTGTCCAGAGGGCACTCACACTCAAACACACACACGTGCACCCATGCACACGCACAGACGCAGAAAGGGAGGTGACCAGGCTGTGATGGGAGCTCCTCCCCCCACCCCCACCCCTCTGGGCAGCCTGGCATGGCCAGGCATTGTGGGAAGGAGTGCGCAGCTGAGAGTCCCCAGGGACGGCTGCCCACTCAGCTCTGCACCCCAGGCCTTCCAGGTATAGCCATCTTCCCAGATCCTGGCAGAGAGTAGGCAGTGGCACGTCTGGGGCAAGAGCTTATACCCAGCGCTGCCACGGGGCCGTGCATGAGCACATGCACACATGCAAACACACACAGGCATGCAGGCACAGACACGTCATCACACAGTGGGACGCTGAGCTATACCCCAGGGTTTCACTGTCCCACTGGATGGGAGCCTGACCCTCCCCCGACAGCACCCACTGTGATACCCGTGAGCCCAGCCCCCACTTCTGGCCTGCATGCATCCCCGCCCTGGCTGGGCTGGCGCTGGCAAGGTGGCTGAGCCAGCTGCCTCCCCCCGGGCCCCAAACATGCCCTCCGACTCCAGGTAGGGGTAAGTGGGAGAAGGTCAAAGAAAGCAGGACAAGCCCAGCAGGCCAACCTCACCTACTTCCTGAACAGTCATTACTGCCCGCCCCCTTTCAAGCTGTCCTTAGAAAAGAAAAACGAAAAAACTTTGCTCTGAAGTCACTGACAAGGCCCGAGAGGCCAAAAGGGGGCTCTAGGAGGGTTGGGGGACCCAGGACAATAGGCCAAACACAATCAGAGCCACCCCTGAGAGTCTTCAGGCTCCCCCGGGACATCTGATCTCCTGGACTCCCACTTGGGGCCTGCTCCCTCTGTGGACTCTGCAGTCCCAGGCCTGCCCCTCCGCTGGGCCAATCCTGGGGTCCTCACAGGCAGAGCCTGGAAGGCCTGGGCTTCCTACACTGGGGCTGCAACCCAAGTCCCAAGACTTGGGCAGATGCCACCACCTTCTCCCCACTGATCCGCTGGGCCACCCTCCTGGGGACTGAGATCTGGCCCTAGTCCTGCCCATTCCCAAACACAAATCTTCACATACTCCACCCAGGGCCTACAACCACACTGCCTGGTATCCTTAGACCCTGCTGCCTGGCCCAGCCTCCTCACCCCAGAAGCCAAGCCTCTTCCTTTCCCTAGGGGTCCTTGTTCCCTTCCTGTCCACCCTTCCCTGGAAAACTCCCACCTAGGGCTCTGTGGACCCTCGCCTCCCTTAGAATCTGAGCAGTAGCTCCCTAACCCCAGGCAGCCCAGGCCCTGGCTCTATGGGGTCTCATGCCCTCTGCTTCCATGCACCAGTTTCTCTGCCACTCTTTCTCCCATCCTGTCACCACCTCTACCTTTCTCCTAACAGGCCCTAGGTCCCCTCCTCTGTCACCCCATCACCCTCATCTGTCTCTGTCACCTCTTCCTCCCAGTCACTCTCTTGTCAGCCATCTCCGGACTTGTCACCCACTCTCCCCATCGCATCACCTCTCCTTGTCACCCCCTCCAACTCTGTCCCCCCCTCCCTATCACCCTGATCTAGTCCTGTCACCCCTCCATTCCTGTTACCCGTTCTCTGCCCACCACAGCCTCCCCCAGTCACCTCTTTTCTGTCACCCCACCACCACTTCCTCCACTCCGACCCCGTTCCCACCATTCCGCCTACCCCTTTCCCCCTGTACTCCCTCCCCGTCCCTGCCACCTGTCCCCTCCCGGCCCCCCGCCCCCCGAAACCCCCTAGCCCAAATCAGCCCTGGCCCCGCCCCTCACCTCGGGCTCGGCGGGGTTTCGGGGCGGGGGGCCGTGGCCCCGGCTCGGTCCGGTCCGGTCCCTCCCCGCCCCCCCTCCGGCTCTCCCTCTCGATTCTCCCTTTTTTTTTTACTCCAACACACAAAATGGTGAATGGACCTGCAACAGCTGGAGCAGCCAGCCAATCAGCGACCACAACCCCGCTGACCGGCGCCGGCCTAGACCAATAGATATTCGCAGCCTAGTCGGCTCCGCCCCTCAAAGAAGAGCGACGCTCCCTATGACCAGTCGCGCCCACCCGGCAGCGCTAGGGGGAGGGGCTAAAGTCCAAGACCTGCCTCCCTCCGGGACCGACACCAACTTGAGCCTACGACCGCCTGATCTGCCTAGGACCCTGCCCCACAACAAGTGATGGACACCAGCCTTGACCAATTGCAAGCCATCGTGGGGCCGACTGACGAATACAGTACCCAATCGCCCTACAGCTTTGGCCGGAACCCAGCCACTGTGAGGGACAGTAGCCAATGAACTGCAAGAAGGCGGGGCTAAGGGGTGAGCTATCCAATGAGCGGGCTGAGGAGGCGTGGCCCGAGCGTTTGTTGACCAGCTAGTCGCAATTCCTGCTGGGAATCGAAGTCTTCTTACAGCTCTGGCCCATAGTTGATAATATAAGGCAGACTACAACTCCCATGTGACAGAGTGCCTGGACCACCAAAGAACCCGGGCGAGGAGAAAAAGTCGGAAAGGGCAGTTCCTCGAGAGTCTCACTGGACACCGGGAGCATCTGAGACCCAGGGCCCCGACTCACCCGGACTCCCGGCTCTGGCGTCGCCAGTGGCTCCTCTCAGCGGCGGTGGTAGCGGCACGAGGAGGAGGTTCGAGGAGCAGCCAACCGCCACCCGCGAGCCCCGCAACCAATCAGCAGCGGCCCGGGCGGCGCAATGACCTCACCGGCTTCTACTCTCTTACCCCTCCCCCACGTGGTTGTTGCTGCCGGTAGCCGGGAGTAGGGAAGTTTGGGTTGGGGGGAGGGGAGGAGAACGAGTGATGTCACCTTTCCCCAGCTTGATTGGCTGTCTGGTGGCCAGGACTATGACCAATCAACGGCCTCGGAAAGTCTGGCGCGGCCTCGCGGAAAGCTCTGTTGCCACCGGGAGGGGAGAGCGCGCGCGTGTGGGGTGGCGCGCGCGCTGCACTGTAGGCAACGCGCGCGGCCTGGAGTTTTGGGGCCCCTGGGGACAAAGTCACCTTTTCCAAGACTTTCACATTTAGGGCGGCGCACTTTTCTGATATCCCCCTAGCCTTGAAGGAGGCATGAGATGGGAAAGGTTAGGGCCCCTTGAGGCTCCACACTGCACTCCTTGGAGAGCTACATTTTGTAGGTGTTCACACCTGGCAGGAGGCAGATTTTTCAAGGTCCCTTGGGCCCCCCTTCCTACACTGGGGGTGAGAAGAAGAGGGATTTGCGCTCTCAATAGTAGATCTCTGCTGCCCAGATGGGGGGTTTAGTCACACCAGGTGTGAACCTGTCTGTGGTGCATCCGTTGTCTCCACATTGGATTTTTCCTAGACAGAGGGTAATGGGGAGCATTCTACACTGGCGGCAAGGAAGGTTTCCACTGCCTGTGATGGATTCCCAGTATCCACACAGAATTCACAACAGTTGTGAGGGAAGTGCACCCAGCCTATAGCAGGTCCACACAGCATTCACACTAAGCATTCACATGACATTCACACTAAGCACAAGAGAGTGTGCCATGGTACATGGCTAATTCACACAGGGCAGGGAAGAAATAGCAGTTGTCCAGTGGGGTTCACTGAGTATGAAGGCCATTCACATTCCCCACAGAGGGTTTGCCTTGAGAATGGGGGGGATTTTATCTACAAGGAGTTCACACTCTGAAGGAATCTTACAGTATTACTTATACGATTATTACTTCTTGGACAAATATACTCATTATATTTTAATCTTATACTCGGAGAGTTCACACTTCGATATTGGGGGAGGGGCCTTGTTACAGTTTATACCGTGCACGTTGGGTAGATGCTGAGTCTGAGGAAGATTCACACTGATGAAGAGCGTTCACATTGCCCCCTTTAGGCAGTACCTTGGGAGTGGTTCATGCTGACACACAGGGGCTCACAGCAGCCATAGAAAGTTTCCCATGCATGGAGATACGCAGTGTCCATGTTCACTTCGTCATGGATGGGAAGGAGATTACACTGTTAGGAAGAGGCTCATATGGGACAGGAGTTCACATTGCCCATGGGAGTTTGCATGGTATTTGGGGGAGATTTCCACTGATCAGGTGGGGTTTTGTGTTCCACATTCAGTTCACATCAGGTGTGAAGGAAGATTAGACTGTCAGTGGGGTGGGCTATACTCTATAGAAACCCACCCTGCCTGGGGATCGTTCTGTTGTGGTCTCCACGGTCAAGGCAGGATTGTCTCTGGCTGTGTGGAGCCCTGGTGGCGCAGTGGTTAAGAGCTCAGCGCTCACAAAAAGCTCAGCAGTTCAAATCCACCAGCTGCTCCTTGGAAACCCTATAGGGCAGTCCTATTCTATCCTGTAGGGTTGCTATGAGTCGGAATCAACTCAGTGGCAGTGGGATAGTGTACTTAAAGGAGCGCTGGCGATGCAGTGGTTAAAGCACTAGGCTGCTAACTGAAAGGCTGACAGTTCCAGCACACCAGCTGCTCTGCGGGAGAAAGATGTGGCGGTCTGCTTCCGTAGTAAAGATTTACAGCCTGGGAAGCCCTATGGAGCAGTTCTACTCTGTCCTATAGGGTTGTTATGAGTTGGAATCGACTCGTCAGTGGGGGGTATGGTGTACCTGTGATGTCCACAGAGTGAACTTACGGTGTCTACAGAGATGTCCACTGCTTATGTGACTTACACCATGCCTGAAGGAGATCTGTCTGTGGGAGTTCACACTGTCCAAGATCTATTTCCCTTGGACATAGAGGAAAGGTTACACTTTCCACGGCACAGATTACAATGTGCAAAGAGAGCTGTACCTGGGCCCTTGGGAGAATTATATAAAATGTAGTTAACAGAGTTATACAGTTCATTGAAATTACACTGTCATGTGGAGTGGAGCGTGAGGTTGGAGAAGGAAAGATAGCAAAGGCTTAGCCAGGCTCCCTGAGATCAAACCCAAGCTCTGCTTCCTCCCAGCTGTGTGACCTTGGGCACATAACCCCTCTGTGCCTTGGTTTTTACCTCTGTAAAAAGGGGATAATAAACGTACCCTACTGCATAGGGTTGTTGTGAGGATGAAATGAGTTAACACATGCAAAGCATTTACAGCAGTGTCTGGAGCAGAGTTAAGTCTTCAAAAATGTTAGTACTGTGATTATTATTATTCAGAAGGAGTTCACCACTGCCTGGAGAGTTTATGCTGTCACAATCTTATTGGGAACCTCATCCATGGGGCTTATACTTTGGGTGTGCTGTGGTGGCAGTGGTCGTGGTAGGTCCTTTTGGGAAGATTTCCAGAGCTCATCATATCTGTGAGGCATTTATCAATTCATCTGCAGGCATCATGGTCTAGTGCTTGAATGCAGTTGAGGTCCCAGGTATGATACTTTCTATCTGTCTGAGCTTGGGCCCATAACCTCTCTCGGGCTCACCCTCGTCTGAGAAATGGGGATAATTAGAGGAACTACCTCATAAAGTGGAGGTGAAGATGAGATGAGATTAACCTGGATCCTGGCATGTAGTCATGTTCAATAAACATGAGCTGTGACTTTTATGTGCCCTGTCCTGGGCTGGGCCCTAGGAATTCCCAGCCATTCAGAAATTCCCCATTTCTTCCCCTTTATTCCAGGGCCTTATTGTCCACCCATGATGGAATCATAGTCCATGTTACGTGTGTGTGTTGGAGAACGGCTGGATAACTTTTTATGGAGAATCAAGACTTCTGAAAGGGTTTTATATACTTTTCTGAAGGTTACAAAGTCCCAGAGAGTTAAAATGGAACATAAGTTTTCTCCCTATCTATGGGAATAATTATAATAGACAGAGAAAAGATTGAAGTTGTCAAGGATTTCATTTTACTTGGATCCACAATTAACACCCATGGAAGCAGCAGTCAAGAAATCAAATGATGCATTGCATTGGGCAAATCTGCTGCAAAAGACCTCTTTAAAGTGTTAAAAAGCAAAGATGTCACCTTGAAGACTGAGGTGCGCCTAACCCAAGCCATGGTATTTTCAGTCGCCTCATATTCGTGCGAAAGCTGGACAATGAATAAGGAAGACCAAGAAGAATTGACACCTTTGAATTATGGTGTTGGTGAAGAATATTGAATATACCATGGACTGCCAGAAGAACAAACAAATCTGTCTTGGAAGAAATGCAGCCCGTATGCTCCTTAGAAAGCAAGGATGGCGAGACTATGTCTCACATACTTTGGACGTGTTATCAGGAGGGATCATGCTTGGTTAGGTAGAGGGTCAGTGAAAAAGAGGAAGACCCTCAATGAGGTGGATTGACACGGTGGCTGCAGCAGTGGGCTGAAGCATAACAACGATTGCGAGGATGGCGGAAGAGCAGGCAGTGTCTCGTTCTGTTGTACACGGGGTCACTATGAGTTGGAACCGACTCACTGGCACCTAACAACAACCACCACATGGGAAGGGGCTACATTATCCATGACTTAATGAAACTAACATACTGACCCTGGGGTTAATGATACCCATTGGTGGGTTTACACCATTCACAGAGCGGTCCACCCAGGCAGGCGGCGCTGTCCACGTAGGGGCGCAGTGTTCATGGGTTACACTGCATGAACCTTCAGATGAAGGTTCACACTGCTTAGGGGAATCACCCTATTTATACGATTGTCTACACTGTGCGTATGGGGTTACCCAGATTACAGGAGTTGACCCTGTTGATAGAGGGATTCACACAATGTTAAAAAAGGTAGATCACATTAATGCATGGGCTACACATTTGTTACATGCTGTCTCACCCTCTGTATGGGGCCCACACCACTTATGAGGGTCTGTCTATACGGGGTTCAACCCATTTTTGTGGGTTCTGTCTACATGGGGCTCGATCTTTGAGGATCTCACTATCTGAGGCTCACAGCTTTTATGAGGGTCTCACCACGTGTTTTGGGCTAACACCCCTTATGATGGCTCAGTGTTGACACGAGGCTCACACCACTTCTGAAAGTCACCTTGTCAGGGGTTTATGGGGGGTCACCCTGCCTATATGGGGGTTCACACCACTCATGCGGGTTTTCCTGTTTCTATGAGGTTCACACTGTTCATGAAGGTTGTAAAATCTGTATGGGGCTCACACCATTTATGAGAGTCACTCTGCCTATACTGGGGTTTATGCTGTGTTTGAGCATTGCAATGTCTGTTTGAGGTTTACGCTGTCCGTATGAGAGTCCCCGTGTGTGTGGGGGTTTATATCATTTGTGGACATTGTACTGTCTGGATGCGTTCATGCTGTTGGTGGGGTTCTGCCAGCTGTATGTGGGTTCAATTCACTTCAGCAGATACATACTGCCAGCCTATTCTGCGCCAGACACTCATCTAGGCACTAAAATCCCTACTGACATTCCGTAGGACAATCACATCCTTTCTGAGGGCTTCCTCTGTTCATGAGATTCACATTGAGGTTCGTACTCTTTAGGCGGTTCCACTGGCAGTAACTGTCCACAAGGGTTTTTCTGTGTGTATGGATTACATTTATTGAAATTACACTGGGTATATGGGGACCAACTGTCCAAGATGGGTTTACTAATTTATTATTGATTAAGCACCTATTGTGTGCCAGGTGGGGGCAGTGGTGGCTGAATGGTAGAATTCTCACTTTCCATGCTGGAGACCTGCGTCC